TAAATTTTCCATCACTATATTCCTAATTTGAATTAGTATCAATAAACTGTAAAATTTGCGGAAATTACAAAAAATCCAAGAGAGGTTGAACAGTTATCAGATCATTAATAGAATAATATATAACTAAATTTTCAGGATATTATAAATTGATATATCTTAAGTATTGCTAAAATTAAAGGATTGCCAAAACCTCTACAAATAAATCGCCACTTCCTAATAAAAGACTGATAATAGTCATTACTGATAAACTATAAATCAAATATTTATTAAGACTTTTCAACTTTTAAGAATAATCCATCTATGTTTAGTCTAGATAATTCGGATATTGCAATGTTATTTATTTTTCGAAATCTTCCAGAATAGCATCATCTATATTAGCAACTTTCTGGTTCACTAAAATTTTCAAGAGAGGCCGAAATTTTAGTAATTAGTAGACTTCTATTTCGATAGTATATTCTCCAAAACTCATATATGATCCAACATCCTAAATAATATATAAGCTGCTATTCCAGTGCTTCTTGTCTATATCTGGTAATTCAAAATTCAAAGTTTCTGATAAAGGTAGGGGTGTATATATTTTTACTTATTAAGTAAATTAGATGTTTATGTACTATTTATTTTAAGTCATATTGAGATAATTAATAACCAAGTTTGGGGCTTTAACGAACGTACATTAGCTAGGAGAATCTTTTCTCATTGTGAAGCAAACCCAATTGTATTCAATTGAGCAATCCTTGCATCCATCGGAGGCATAATAATTGCCATCATCGCATTCCTCTTCTTCCTAGACCAATCCATCTCCACAATTTAATTATTATTTGCACTAATTTGAAAGTAGCAGTTAGTATTGATCTATGCACTCTAAACAAGTACCTTGATAACAATCATAACAATTTTCTGGGCAAGAATACTGACACTGAAAACATCCATCAAATTTTATCATATTACCGTCATCACAATCTTCTTCTTTTGTGATAATTTAATCGCCGCAAACTGAAAGACAATTGTTATTAACAAACTCATATCCATCTCCACATTTTAATATGCATTATCCTCGATCACATATGTTGCAATCTTCAATACATTGAAACTTACATTAATAACAACCATCATAAGGTTGAAAATTTCCATCATCACAATCTTCATATTATTAAAGAACGAATTTATCTCCGCAATAAGGAAAACACACATTTTCTAACAATTAAAATCCTACTTCACACTCTAAGCAAATTGAAAAATAGTTAGTTTTACAATTAGCAATTTAAAAAAATCTACAATCCTAGCAACCATCCCATACACCATTAACAGTCAGTTCACATTATTCAACTGAATATGGGGTCAAATTCCCATCCCCGCACAAAGGATCGCAATTAAAATTGGAATTAATTACAAATCCATCTATACATTAAAAACAAATTCCGAATTCACAAACTTAACAGTTTTCAACACAGGAATATTTGCATTGAATACAAGAATGATTCAATATAAGAGAATCACATTATTCTTAACCTTGAATGATTCCATCTCCACAAATAGGATGACAATTTTCTTTAAACTCATCTTGAATCCAACCATCTTGACAAATCAGACATTTATCATCTATTTATTCCAAACAGCCTTCAATCAAATTCTTAAATGCAATTTCTGACTCAGTATAAAATACCTCAAAATCTCTAATGGAACTATATTCTGAAGATATTTGTGTTTCAATATTCAGTTATAATATATGATCATTATGATTTCTTATTAATATTTCTATTAAATAATCAGTCTCAATAGTTTATTTACCATATAAATAGTCTACTATTATAATATTTGTACTATATTTAAAAAACCTTATTAATATATTCTAATGAGGAGGCAGCTAAGTTTGGTATTTAATTTAAGAAAAGACCAATAATTAACAATTTCCACAATTCTAGTTCGTTATGACAGAACTTGATGAAAAGGTCCATCCATCCGATTATGTGATCTATTTCTAATTAAATGAATATTAATGCAGTTTCCATAATTAGTATGTTTCATCATAATTATCTATGCATCCAGCAGATTCATACAAACATTTTATGATACTTAATTATAATGAAATTAATCCTCCAGAAAACTAATCAAGATACATCCAAAGGACTCTTCTATTATGTTACACAGTAATAGAAATAGTATACAGAAATTTAGTGAATCCATTTTAACACATCTTGTTTTAAAATGATGTCGGGAACATTTACTAATATATTTGCGAGTCTATGTAGAATTAAGTTGGATTAAAGCTATCAATCCTTTTTTATTAAATACCTTAGAATTTGTGCTTCCACTATAATATGAGAATGAGGTTCTAGATCTAAAAAAATCCTGCTAATCTGACAATTATAATTAGTAGACCCAAAATATCGAATCTCTCCACAGGTCAGGAAGTTAGAATTACCTTCCCATCCTAATATAAAAATAAAGAAATTACCATCTCTTTTTCTAAAACTAGCATTAAACTCATAAATCATAATTTGATGAGTTATAGATATTAAAATGAAGATTATTATCATAATAATTAATATCAATATTTTTTATTATTTTTAAATCTTAATAATTCGATTAATTTAATCAAATTAAGTATTTATTTAAATTATTATACTTATTGAGAATTAAATTAATTAATCTCTATTCTTTATACAATAAAATTTGTTAAGTAAAATAATGATTTTCAACTCAATCAACTTAATATGAATGCTTATTTTTTATGCCTTTTAAAAATTATTTGATCGATTGATTCAAATTTTAACAATAATATAATTTTTTTAGAAAATTTTCTAATCATATTGAAGA